CAATCTTGATAGTAACCACAGAAGTTATTTATAATCCCCTGGCCACTTTGACTTACAACCTATCGGTCTCTGATCTTGCAATGTATCTCAACTCCTAATTGTTCTTTGTGTATCAACCAGAATCTCTCACCGTTGCACAACATGACCCAAGCCTACTGTCCAAGCTATAGATTTGCCCCAATGGGAAATTTACATGGTTTCATCCCTGAAAATGCCAAATGCTATGGGACTTAAAGAGCAAGAGCTGAAAGGAATCAACCTTTCACAGACAGTTCAAGTCTTTAAATGGCATCATATATATTGAAAGAACAATACCTAGTATAAGAGAGCAATTTATACATTTTGGGTTGTATCCACTGCTACTCAGAGTAGACCCATTGACATTAATGTACCCAAGTTAGCAATGTCTAGTAATGTTGATGGGTCTACTCTTAGGACTAGAATTGTGATAATCAACTTTCAGTTGCTTGCTAACCATTTTCACTCCCATTCTGCCCTTTGATGGTAAAGATCAACTACATCTGTGTTAAAGTGGCTGGTTAACAATATTAATCCACTACAGTTCATGCATGAATCTATTTATACAAAATAATATGTATAAAAATACCAACAAAATAATATGCATATTCTTGCTATATACTGGATAAAACTAGATAAACAAAGCAGCAAATCAACTAACATTTTCTAATTTAATTGGTTAGGTGTGCTTGATTCAGTAACATTTTATTCCATCACAAATGAGACCTAGTGGAATTTGTCTGAAGGGCATAGGTGCCTTTGATCACAGATTATCATTTTTATAAAGATTAAGTTCTTTATTTTGGAAAAATCAACATTTGGCCTGAATGAAATCTCTCTTTGCGGGATTTGTTTTTAAAGCAAATCCTATTAAATCCTGTTTGCTTTGAAAAATATGAATTTATATTCTCACAGTTCCAATCTTGTACAACATTCCTAATTTTGGATACTATTATATTTAGAGTAAACAGTGCCAGTTCTCCCATTAGGCAATATCTTTGACCTTTGGCTCAGGTGGCAGATCATGAGGGGTGGCAGATGAGTATCCCTGGACTGTCTGCTGCTGCAAGGCCAAGCCCTAACATTAAACAGAGTGAGGCAGCAGAGTGTGATGAATGGTTTTGGAATGACGCCTGCCTGTACCCACTAGGCTAGCTTGCTGCCCTCAGGAGGACAATGTCCCATCACGAGTGTCAAAGTAAAATTCAACTGCCAGTCCAATCACCTTTGGTATCTGAAACTTGCCCTGTGCCTCAGGCAGAAAAATATGTTAGGTTGACCCTGGCCACTGCCTCTGGCCACTCACAATTGGTTGCCTGCCACCACCACTAGCACACACACCCCTTCTCCTTCAGGCCTAGCCATTGTTCCAGCTTCAGGGCACATTAATAGGTGTCAACTAAACTTCCATCCAAGCCACACTTTCATGGAATCAGTCTTCAACTTTATTGGTAAATTGAACACAACTTGAACAGCAAACAAATTACAAATGCAGATTACCAAATACAGTGGTACCTCACTTCTCAAACATCTCCACTTACGAACGTTTCAGAACCCGAACGCCGAAAACCCAGAAGTAAATGCTTCCATTTTCGAACGTGCCTCAAAAGTCAAACGACTTCCACTGGGTGTTTTTCAATTTTCTCAACTGAATTTGTAGACAGCCCTTGGTGCCTCAGTTTTTGAACGTTTCGGAACTCGAACGGTTTTCTGAAATGGATTATGTTTGAGAACCAAGGTACCACTGTACTTAGCTTTAGAAGCTTAAAAAACGGAATGAATAGGAAGCAACTGACTAGGATAAAAATGGTGGTATGGAAGAGGTAAAAAGATAACAAAAGACCAGGCCCTCCAGGCTGCAACTCAGAGTGGCAGAGAACAGGACAGAGTGAGACTTTTCTTCGTCTGCAGTATTGGATATTCTACATAGGAATAGCTGATCAATGCATGATAATAAGGCTTGATCAGTTGATTAACAATGGGAAAAGAAAACAGTTCTAAATGCAGAGAGCAGGGGCAATATAACAAATAAAACAATCCCCATTTGGGACAGAACAGCAGCTGCTGCCTAAACCCTAAAAATGCTAAGTGGCATTCCTGCAGGTGGATTCCTCAAGGTTGCCAGTGCTTTTAGTCTGAGAAAAGGTGCTTCCTCAGAGTGAAGCACTGTGTGTGGGGTGGCAGTTCTACAGTTCTCTACTATAACATTTTAAATAGCATTTATTTGCCATAACAATCCATAATGGGACCACAGCTCCCTTACCCTATGCCACAATTCTGATGCAGATCAGTAGCTGCTTATGGCTGCTACTAATTTCATTAATATCATAACTTCCAATTTGGGTCCTAAATTTGGGGAAGAGGGCAGATGAGTAAAACCAGTGTCCAGAAATGACTTCCAGGTGAAAGTTGTCTCAGGTTGTTATGAGTGTGGCTTTTACAAACAGGAATGTTTGTAAGCATTCAGCAAAGGAAACACAGCCCAGAATAACTAAGGAGATAGTACAAGAATACTTGGCTAGTTTAGATGTATTCAAGTCTCCAGGGCCAGATGAACTGCATCCAAGAGTATTAAAAGAACTGGCAGATGTGATCTCAGAACCACTGGCAGTCATCTTTGAGAATTCCTGGAGAACAGGTGAAGTCCCGGCAGACTGGAGGAGGGCAAATGTTGTCCCTATTTTCAAAAAGGGGAAAAGAGAGGACCCAAATAATTACCGCCCAGTCAGTCTGACATCAATACCAGGGAAGATTCTGGAGCAGATCATTAAGCAAACAGTCTGTGAGCACCTAGAAAGGAATGCTGTGATCACCAATAGTCAGCATGGATTTCTGAAAAATAAGTCATGTCAGACTAACCTGATCTCGTTTTTTGACAGAATTACAAGCCTGGTAGATGAAGGGAACGCAGTGGATGTAGCCTACCTTGATTTCAGCAAGGCATTTGACAAGGTGCCCCATGATATTCTTGTCAAGAAGCTGGTAAAATGCGGTCTTGACTATGCTACCACTCAGTGGATTTGTAACTGGCTGACTGACCGAACCCAAAGGGTGCTCATCAATGGTTCCTCTTCATCCTGGAGAAGAGTGACTAGTGGGGTGCCACAGGGTTCTGTCTTGGGCCCGGTCTTATTCAACATCTTTATCAACGACTTGGATGATGGACTCAAGGGCATCCTGATCACATTTGCAGATGACACCAAACTGGGAGGGGTGGCTAACACCCCAGAGGACAGGATCACACTTCAAAACGACCTTGACAGATTAGAGAACTGGGCCAAAACAAACAAGATGAATTTTAACAGGGAGAAATGTAAAGTATTGCACTTGGGCAAAAAAATGAGAGGCACAAATACAAGATGGGTGACACCTGGCTTGAGAGCAGTACATGTGAAAAGGATCTAGGAGTCTTGGTTGACCACAAACTTGACATGAGCCAACAGTGTGACGTGGCAGCTAAAAAAGCCAATGCAATTCTGGGCTGCATCAATAGGAGTATAGCATCTAGATCAAGGGAAGTAATAGTGCCACTGTATTCTGCTCTGGTCAGACCTCACCTGGAGTACTGTGTCCAGTTCTGGGCACCACAGTTCAAGAAGGACACTGACAAACTGGAACGTGTCCAGAGGAGGGCAACCAAAATGGTCAAAGGCCTGGAAACGATGCCTTATGAGGAACGGCTAAGGGAGCTGCGCATGTTTAGCCTGGAGAAGAGGAGGTTAAGGGGTGATATGATAGCCATGTTCAAATATATAAAAGGATGTCACATAGAGGAGGGAGAAAGGTTGTTTTCTGCTGCTCCAGAGAAGCGGACACGGAGCAATGGATCCAAACTACAAGAAAGAAGATTCCACCTAAACATTAGGAAGAACTTCCTGACAGTAAGAGCTGTTCGACAGTGGAATTTGCTGCCAAGGAGTGTGGTGGAGTCTCCTTCTTTGGAGGTCTTTAAGCAGAGGCTTGACAACCATATGTCAGGAGTGCTCTGATGGTGTTTCCTGCTTGGCAGGGGGTTGGACTCGATGGCCCTTGTGGTCTCTTCCAACTCTATGATTCTATGATTCTATGATTCTATGATTCTATCCAAACCTACCCACTCCCAAATTCCAAAATTCAGCAGGATCCCTACTTTACGAAGGGACATGGGTGGTGCTGTGGGTTAAACCACAGAGCCTAGGACTTGCCGATCAGGTCAGTGGTTCGAATCCCTGCGACGGGGTGAGCTCCTGTTGCTTGGTCCCTGCTCCTGCCAACCTAGCAGTTCAAAAGCACGTCAAAGTACAAGTAGATAAATAGGTACCACTCCGGTGGGAAGGTGAATGGTGTTTCCGTGCCCTGCTCTGGTTCGCCAGAAGCGGCTTAGTCATGCTGGCCACATGACCCAGAAGCTGTACGCCGGCTCCCTCCGCCAATAAAGCGAGATGAGCACCGCAACCCCAGAGTCAGTCACAACTGGACCTAATGGTCAGGGGCCCCTTTACCTTTTACCCTACTTTAAGGGGTCTGGAAAGCTTTTATTTCCCTATTGGTTTATTTTATTTCCTTACTTTCAACAACAAACATTGAAATGTACTTGCTTTAGGTGCCCCTTAGTGTTGACTTTCAAACAAAATATATAGCAAAAAATCATGTTTGTACAGTTTCATAATTTCATTTCATTCCAGTGCTGGTCTCCTGAAAACAAGGGAGAAATATTTTTTGGGTGCTGTGTGGGGATACTGTGGCCTCCCAGTTGTCACCTGACAACTAACGACACTGGCTAGGCTGATGTACTTGGGTGGCCAAAGATTCCTCATCCCTGATTTAGACATTCTGATAAAAGTTACCTTTAATAACAAGTAGCGAAGAAAGTTGTCAGTGAAAATGAGAGAGATTACGGTATTTTCTGTACCTTTATATCATTTGATTATCATGTTGGTTTCTGTAACAATACCAACTGAAGCTACAGTTCAATATTTATTTACATGAGAAAGCTGCATGGGGCTTAGTTCCAAGCAAATACTCATAGCTGTTTTAAGATTTATTTGCAATGTAAATTGCCACTTCACACATCAGTCCAGATTAATTTTAAACATATCATATGTTATTCTGCTGTTCTGATATCTACACTGGTTATTCTGCTCTCATCATGATGTCTAGCAAATAAACTTTGCAGGAGTCTTCAGTGATATTCATTTTAGAGAGTATGCAAAAGTCTCTGGCAGACAAGGGTTAACAGTCTCGGTCTTCCCTCTTTGTGCAGACATGAATAAATTAGCATCCTGAGTGTAGAACATTCCCTTTTACAGTAGGTGGTGTTCTTGTTACACTTTCATACATGGCAGGCTAATTAACTATCTGAAAGAGAACATCGTTAAAATTATTTCTCCTACCTCTGCTTAAAACATTTCAACATTTTAATGTGCCCAAGCAATTCAATTATATTTAAAATGAACAGCTTAACCACAGTTTTCTTCTATAATGACATTCAGAACAGAGTTCACACTTTACTCTGGACACAGACAAAATTTTATAGAAGGGTGGGGGAGCCTATATTTGATTCATTATATTTAGCTAACATTTTCAAACTTACAAATGGGTCTTTTTCCTGTTCCGAAGGTGTTTGATGGTTGCAAAAGTATTCTTTCCCATGGATCTCTACTTTGAAAGGGGAAAAAATGACAAGATATTTGGAGTTGCATTCTTTTTTCCCTTCCGAAAGTATATTGCAAGCATTCTTAGTGCTTTGGGAAGAAAAAACATACAAAGGCTCCTTGTTTCCTGCCTAGTCAAAATATCTGAAGTTAAAGCACCAGTGAGACAAAATGGGATAGTAATTATTCTTTCTTTCTTTCTTTCTTTCTTTCTTTCTTTCTTTCTTTATACTGCCCTCCATCCGCAGATATCCGGGAGGTTCACAACATAAAAATGCAACATAAAAGCACAAAATACATGATAAAAACAAGAACAAAAAACCCTACAAACCGGTAACCCCTCCCTCCCCTTCCAATGCTAAGTATTATCACATTGTGGTGCTTCATTAATGTTATCAACAACTGAGTACATTGTGGCTTGGCTGTAGGGCAACATGGTTTTAATTTCAATTTTGCATCTGTAGCAAAAGGGAAACACACAACATACACATACTCCCTTTGTATCACACACACGGAATGGGGATGGACTTAAAAAATTAATGGGACATGAATTAAAACAAGCAAATTTGATGGTTGCTTTTTCATGCTTACAGCTACCTGTGGAACTCATTGCCAAGGGACATTATGAAGTGTAGTAGGATATATGCCTTCAAAACTTCTGCATATCCCTCCAAAACATGTATCAATCCAGAGCAAAGGCGGCAGCAGGGGCTGGTACTGAGAAACACATCTTCAATTATTTGTATGATGCCGATGACTGTGTGGCATTTAAATCACTTTCAAAAAAATTTTAAGTAATTCCGTATTGGGTCAGCATAGCCTTGTGTTTATATATGTATAAGAAAAATATATACAGTATGTGGCTGTGCATTATAGAAGTCTGAGCAAGTCCCACACACCCCTCACAAACACAGCACCCCAGTATAAAAAACACACCCTAGAGGAACTTTGCCTGGGGAGGGGAGCAGTGGTGCTTCTCTTCCAGTATTTAATATCACAACAACCCTGTGGGGTGGGCCATGTTGAGAAATAGTAACTGCAGCAAAGCACCTCTGTGAGGCACAGGCCAGGTGTTAAACCTTTCCAGTAGTCCAAGCCCTAGAGGGGGACCACTACCATGCATGTATCCCTCCCTGTAAACCCACAACCGCACCTCATGCCACAAATACCCAAACACCCGACAAACCCACACACCCTTCGAAACCCCAGACATTGAAACACCCACACCACCGCTCAGCAACGGAACAGGTCACCTCTGTACCAGGGGTGCTTCAAAAGTGAGCCTGGGAAGCTGGGCTGATTCTAATGATTACATATCTGCGGACTAAATAACCTTCTGAGATATATATCAGGCTTTTCTGGCCTACTTCAGTGCTGTGAGGCTGCCTGTCGCCTGACACATCCAAAATGGCCTCTCTCTCGCCTCCTTGGCCTGCTCTGCCCTTTACACTCAGGGATTGTGGGCTTTGGTTTTGGCCTTCTGCCTAGGCTAGGAAGCCTGTCATATTTGGCTTCTGCCTCTGGAGAAGCCGTTTTCAACGGAGCCCAGCAATGGAGAAGGGGCCCAGGCCAGATTCAATGCCACAAAGGCCCACAACCAGCAATTTTGTGGCAGAAAGGATTATTCGAGGAGTTCGCGAAGGGGGACAGAGACTCTGCGCAGAACACCAGGCACTTAAATGCAGGTAGACTTGGACTGTTAAAGTTATTTAAGTATATTAAATAGGAACACAGTTGATTTATTATTAGTGCATAGCCTGGCATGGTTGTGGCCTAGTCATTTTGCAAGGCCAAGGCCTAGTGATAAGGCAGAGCCGCTAGTGGGGTCTTTTTGTTGGAAACAGGGATATACAGAAAAGCCACAAAGGGATCAAGATTTATCTGCTGTTCCTCCTTTGGCAAAATATTTACTTGAAAAGTGTAATTGTTGAACGGTGTGTTAGCAAGTGTTAGCAAGATTTCAAAACAAACCATGCACCAACAGAGCATTTCACCACACACACACCCCTCTACTGATGAACTAACAACACATTACATTAAATGCATAGTGTGCAGAGCCATAAGCAGTGTTTTTAAATTAGTATTTGGGTGGGGGGGGGAGAGGTTTTCATTACATATGAAGTTCACAGAGAGGTCCCAGCTGCAGTCCCTCAAAATCAGTCCTTTTACAGAAAAAAAGGTTCCCAGTAACACTGCTAATGTACAGCTACTGCATATGCTTAGAAGTCTCCTGTCATCATTCTATACACTCATATAAGATATAAGTTTATTTCATTCCAAAGTATCTGTGGCACAGTTAGTACAAATCACTCTTTTTGTTTGCTTAGTATTGGTCTACCTTGAAGGAGTTCAACAAAGGGCATCGAAAACCGATAAACTATCAATAGAAGCTGGAAAAATTAGCAGTTGCCACTAGTAATTCTCAGTTAAGGCTATTAAAACAGCAAATAGTCATATACTAGATACAACAGAAAAAGCAAATGTAGTATTCATCCTTTTTTGGGGGGGGGGACTCAAGTTCTTTTTTCTGTACATAAGGTTAATTAATAACATGCAGAAGCTCATAGTTTATGTAGGAAAATATTGTAGACATTTATTAGTATGCTAATAGAGAGCTACCTTCATCAAATTAAATAACAGACAGCAATGTTGTATCAGATAGGATAACTGAATTATCTTCTATTTACTGACAGGCAGATTCTGGAAACCATACAGATTTGCTTTTGTAATACTTTCAGTGTGTCTGAACAAAATATCCTATTTCTCTTCTTTCCCTTAGCTGGTATTTCCTTTCAGTTACATCCCTTTCATCTGTAGCCATAAGACAGGCCTAATACTAGGTGGCCCTTGGCAGCAGATGTTTGTAGTGGCGATGAATAAAAAGTTACTGTTTGGGGTTGGTATATTTGTTTGTTTGTCTTCATTCACAATAATCATTTACTTGAAAACAATAGCAGTGGAAATAGCACGGAGAAGCCATATTGGTCTGTGTTAGTTGGGTGGGTCATATAGCGACCAGAGCAAATTCTGTCATGCAGAAGGATGTTGTGAAGATTCACTTGATCTGAAAGTTTGCTCACTTCCATGTAGTCTTGTTTACATGTGTCTTGATTTCTTGGTCATGGAATCTCTTTAGTATAGACTATTTGCCTCAGTTTTTCCTATCTATAAAATGGGTGAATGTTTTCTAAATGCTCACTTTAATAATATACTGCACATATGTGTCTTTGACATATGACTTGGCATGGAGTATACAATGACAATTTCTTATTTCTTACTTTGTGCTTCTGATATCGTTTGAGCCTGAGTTCTCTTAGGGTGATATATTGGACTTGTTGCATCATATAGTGCTTGATGGGATGGGAAAAATGGATCCTTTGGAACAGATAACATGCCTACTGCAAACTCACTATTCTACACTGAGTCTACTGAGTGCTTGCTAGACCTTATCTGGAGTAAAGTATTTAATTTTTAGGAACACAAGTATTTATGTTTATGGTGTGGGCATCAGATATTTCAAGCTGCAAAATTCTGGTTTTCCTTATAGATCCTTAGAATGTATTTATGATAAGTTAAAAACATGTCAATATTTGCCATTTTTTAGACTGTTTTCAGTATTACAATAACGGTCCACTGAAAATATCTCAAGATGCTGAGGATACTATTTTAATACACATGACATATGCACACTAAAAACATCAGATTCTCTTGCGGTTCTTTAGTGGCCTTCTTTTCAAACTGTCCTTTGTCACTGAAAAGTGAAGCCTTGCTTTATTATCAGTTCTGTAGGGTTGTATTACACCCTTTGGCTATGCCAAGTTCACACGTTTTCTTCTTACTGTAATCCCCCAGAGGTCACAGTAAAGGTCAGGGTAGAACATAAATGATACTTTGTGGTCTAACATTCACACAGTAATCAACTCATAAATCCTGGTCATACTGTAATGAGAGTGTAAGCGATAAGGAAATGTAGAGACTGAGTCTTCATGAAGGAATAATGCTGAAAAGATAAGTAAGCAATTAATGTTATTGTTAAATGTACTGCAAGTTGGGGAAAGCATTCTTATTTCTCTGTTTTAGTATTTCTCTGTTTCTAATATTTGGCAAGTATCCGTCTGAGTGACTATATTAATGTGAGCATATTAATTTATTGGTCATACCTAAAAACATATTATTGTTTGGAAAATGGCAGTTGATGAAAGGACACTTTTTCAGTGGTAGACCGTATGCTTAGCATGAAGGTCTCTGGTTCAATCCTGGACATCTCCTGTTAGGCAGTGGAAGGTTCAAATTCAAAACCCTAGAGAGCTGCTTCCAGTCATATAGACAATGCTGCATGAGATGGAGCAATGGTCTGACTTGGTACAAGGCAGCTCCTTATGAAAATGACTTTCTATTCACAAGTAATGAGTGATTTCCCATATATGGCTGTCATGTATTAGTTCCTCGATAAAACACATCAAATCCCCCATTTATAGCTGAATGGAATGGGCACAACTATCTTTCATGAGAACTTGCAGGGAAACCTGGGTAAGAACAAACATTTAACAACCATCAAACTCAACCATCACAATTTTTATTTTATCTAAAATATACATCCTACGCTGTTTCCAGAAAGTAAGCTTTTCTTATTAACAAACTCAGTTTGTCTCAAATGTTTAATTAGTCACCTAATGATCTTTAAGATCATCTGCATTCACCCTTTAAGATCTTTCTGCTTGTGATGTTTGGAGGGCAAGGGTACCAACCCTTGGCTATGTTACAACTTCATACCCTTAAACTCAACAGATCTTTCACTTGAGCAAATATTCCATGTTTTGTGGCATTATTTTATTCAGGATAAGTTAGAGTAAACCAGTGGAATGTGGTTATTTGTGGTCAGTTACATGCTTTTGACTGCTGTGATGGATTCTAAGTTCAATTTGATAGGATATTTACATTTACATTAATCTTTCACTATATATCTATATTCAGTTAGCTGGTGTATGAAATATTATGAGAGAGGCAGGCCCCTCTCTGTGTACTATATGAACCCTCTCTCCCTGTTCATAGGTAACGAATCTTGGCTAAAAATGGATGGGAGGCGAATGTTTCCCATATGCTTTCACCTTTCCTGTAGTGCCTCTTATGTCAGTCTAGTCTCCTTGGAGGAAAGACATAATATATAGGTGATATAGAGAGAGAATAAAAAAAACTTCCTTCATCTGAGAAGAATTTTCGCCCTGACCAATTAACTGATGTACAGATAATTGTCTCCAAGGTGTAGCATGGGTTGCCTGTGCCTGGGGCCATGAGGGGAGGGGGGAAACAGGAGGGAGGGAAACAGACGGTGTACACATGTGCATTCAGCTGGCTAATGGCATCCGCATCACCCAGGAAATCACAGCTGCAGAGATAAAAAGAGTCATCTCATTGTCTGGAGAGGTCACTTCCTGCTTCGCATGGAGAAGCCGTTTTCAACGGAGCCCAGCAATGGAAGCATGCAGCTGTATTGAGGCAGCACTGGGTGTTGAATTTTTGTACTCCCTAACAATTTTGCGCCTGGGGCAAAGCCCCACACTATGCCACTGCTCCCAGGTATTAATAAAAGAACTGAGCATGATTTACTACAACACAGGTTGTTTTGTTGTTGGCATCCATCTGTCTTGAGAGGCAATGGAGTGTGCTTCCAGGAGTGAAGTCAAACTGCTGTTTTAGCAGCACCAAAGTGACCTCCCCAGGGCACAAACCTGGGCAGTGTGTATGGAGATCCTGGGCTGCCCAGATGACATGACCCCCTCTTGGTCTCACTGATGTGGTCCAAAGGAAAGCATAGCAATACATTTGGCACCAGCCTGACTGCAGGCATTGTTGGAAGGAGGTGTACAAGGTACCATTCAAGCATCTTAGGGACTCCAATCCAGATTTGTGTAGGGTTTACTCCTTAGCCTTTGCTTCTCCAATTTAGGAACAGATTTATTAACATATGCTTAAAGACCAATCCAGACTGTTCCCCCCCCCCCCATTTCATCAAATTATTAGCACTTGGTTTAGGGTTACTGAATAAAAACACCAGGCTATGAGAATCAGGGCTTGGGATCCCCATTATTGTTTAAGAATATGGAGACTATTCTGGAACGAAAAAGAAGCCTGTTGGGGTGAGGAAAACCCCCCTAATTTGCCTGATTTGGGAGAACTGAACATTTGCAACTGGCATTCTCTTGTCATTTCAGGGCGAGATCACCATTTGACTCTTGCTCTCTGAATTATCCTAGAAGATTTGCCCACAGCCTTTACATTATTTCTTTTGTGTGTTCTTTTTGTGGGTGAATCAGAGCCATGAGAAAGGAGAAAATGTGAGAACTTAGATTATCTGAAACAGTTTCCATCCTACTTTGGGAATCCTGCATAGTGTATTGTGAAGAGACTATTGTTTCTGACACCTTTTAGTGGGTAATGATATCTCACACTTCTTAAATAGGCATAAACAGACTCTGAGGTAATTTGATGAACAATTGTTACATCTTCTACAACGGCTGTGAAGTTTGTTCCCTTACCCCCTCCCTCCCACAGCATTCTTTGAGTAATTCACATACCAAATGTATGCTTATGTAAAACAGCTTGTGCTATAGGCTGCCAGTACTTTTTCATATGACCTCTAGTGTAAAATGCAGTATGTCTGGCCTGAGTTATATTATTCTGTCAACATTTTGGTCTAAGTTTGAAGCAGCTCTCTGCACAGCTGGCACAGGAAAAGTGGACATCTGTGCAACTAGTCCAATAAACCAAGAAAAAATAATAGAAATTCAGTGGAATATTATTCTAGTCTTGGGGAATGAAAAGAATTTCTTGCTCTGCAAAACACACACAAATGCTGAGATTTCTTATTCACATACCTCCAGAAAGACTAAATCGTAAATCAGCACCATGGAAAGGTGAGAAGTTTAATATGGCTTTTATTCCAAATGTAAACATATTCATTCATATGCCAAATAATGGGGATTAATTTAAAGAGCTTTAGTTTCCTAGGAGTTAAGGTAATTTATCCTGCATTAGGGATTAGTTGTACTTCATTATGTGATATCCCGCCCCCCCTTTAGCACACTCTGCCACTTTTAAATAATACAAATAATAGCAGCAACCACTATTATCAATAGGCACAATCAGTCCTTTTTTTCAAAAAAAAAAATGTTTAGGGGTACTCTCATTTTCCTACTCATATTGAAATACTGCCCCTCAATGAGGCCAAACTTAGATTCACAAAATGTTTAGGGGTATGCGTCCCCCCAGAAAAAAAGCACTGGGCACAATTCAATCAAAGAGATTTATGTTGCAATCTTATATCCATTTACCTGGGAATAAGCACAATTGAAAGCAGTTGGACTTACTTCTGATTAGTCCTATATGGTATTGCATGTAAAGCATTGTGTACAAATCGTTAAATGATAACAAAGTGATTAGTAAATCCATAATAATAATGCTACCTACAGTAATGATCAGTCAGCGATTTCACAATAACACAAATGAAAAGAAATAGGAGTAAATGCCAGCTTTAAACAGAAAAAAAAATCTAGCATCAAAAGTTTTCAGGCTGATTTTCGTTTACAAGTTTATAAAAGCATGGAAGTCATGGAGGTGCTGTAAGAGAGAAATGATTCTCTTTTTGTCTCAGAACATCGAATCATTCAAAGAAACCAGTGGCACAGTTTTCAGAACAAATAAAGTGTTTCTTCTATGATAGATGCCACAGGTTGTTGTGAAAACCATTACTGTTAATGGTCTTTAAAAACTACCAATATATTACATAAATTAATTGAGGATAGTATCAATCTTCCTATTCATAGAGTGAATGCCCTGCTTACAGATGCACTAGGAAAAGGTAAAGGGACCATTAGGTCCAGTCGCAATTGACTCTGGGGTTGTGGCGCTCATCTTGCTTTACTGGCCGAGGGAGCTGGCGTTTGTCTGCAGGCAGCTTCTGGGTCATGTGGCCAGCATGACTAAGCAGCTTCTGGCGAATCAGAGCAGCACACGGAAATGCCGTTTACCTTCCTGCCGTAACGGTACCTATTTATCTACTTGTACTGCATGCTTTCTAACTGCTATGTTGGCAGGAGCTGGGACCAAACAACGGAAGCTCACCCCGTCGTGGGGATTCGAACCGCCAACCTTCCGATCGGCAAGCCCTAGGCTCTGTGGTTTAACCCACAGTGCCACCCGCATCCCACACAGATGCACTACTATCACACGAAAAGGAACCTTTCATCTGCGATGTGGAAATCCCTTAAAGAGGGGGAGGTTGCTGTCTGTAAACCACAGGATGTGATCCATCAACATTGCATTGCAAGTGCCGTTGCATTCAGTAAAAGTTCCATCTGAATAAACATGCTTAATATTGCATTGCAAGGCACAGTATGAAACTATGATATCTATTTCAACCCAACCGGCCGTTAATTTCTTTTTTTTTTTCCTGGGAAAGATGGTGTGTGTCAAATGGTTAATTGAATAATGGTTCCCAAAAATATTTCTTTCCAAAGATCAGAAATCATTTTTTGACAGGCTAATGATTGAGATTTCTTCAGCTGTAAATTCCAGAACTCCTCTAGTCTTAATCAGATGAGTAAGAACAATTTAGTAAACTATTCCATGATATCTAACACAATATACCTAACACTTCCAACACTGTGTCATCACTCACCCTGATGATTATCTGTATTTTAAAATTTAAATTTAATTTGTGAAATAATGTTTTTGATTTTAGCATTTTACGCCAACTTGACATTTTGTGATATGGTTGTATAGAAATATTTCTATAAATAAATAAAATATTCTGTGGTTTGTATAAATGATTTCCATTGTCCTTATTTCCCTCTTTTTCATTACAGTATTTATGCAGTTAAGCTATTAGAACCAATTTATTTTCAATGTTGACAGAAGTTGGTGAATATCGTCTTAATCCTTTCAAGTTTTCCATTTACGAAATTCAGTGGAGACTGTTTCAATTAGGGTCATCTGGTCACATATCTCTTGATCCTTTGATCGCTAGAGCAGCAATACTGTGTCAGTAATCTGTAGGCCACCATTTGGGTTAATGAATCGGCTTGGCTTTAATTCTTGCCCAGATGTAATCTTTTATAGTTTTAATGATTTGGTCTAACATGAGTTCCAATTGAATGTAAACAGCTTCTTGGATATATGTGAAAATTCTCTTTTTAACATTTTGCCTCTGTTTCTAATTAATTGTAGAGCAATTAAATCGAACCCTGATCTGTTGGGATCAAGATTAAATCATAGAATGGACTGTGCTGCTTATATCTTTGGTGAGATCATTATTGTCAAGACTAATAGTAATCAGGAAAAGAGGAAAGAACCAATGTAGCAGGGGGAGGGGAACCATTCAATCCCATTTTATTTCAAATATTCTCTTCTCACTAGACATCTGGTTTGGCTTAATGCACAATCATAGTTTCTCTTATATAACAGCTTTACTGAGAGATCTCAAAGTACGTATCTGCCAAAATAAATGTGAACTAGGTTACAGATATTTCCATTATAGAGACATGCTGAAGGAAAGACAAGGTATATAAAATAAATGTATATGGGTTTGCAAAATGGTTCTTTAAAAGTCAAGGAGGAGAAAAATAACTAGGGGAAATGTGGGGATAGGTGGATGTGTGCACAATTACACTTAAATAAATATAACAAAGCAACTCTGAATGGTAAGGGGGAAAGGGCCGGTCAACAACCAGGATAAAGGGAAGTACAGGAATGTCCGTCCAAAATAACATGGACAGTTGCAGGCGGAAGGGGTTAGGGTTAGGGTTCAGAGCAGCAACAGATAACAAACACCGTTACTACTTGGAAAAGAGTTATTCGTGCTTCACGTACATTATAAAAGGTTAAGGAGAATAATCTTAACATTAGTAAGGTAAGGTATAAATTTGCATGAACCTTACGGCAGAACTGAAATTGTATGGGTTAGATTTTTCCTCTATCTGTAACCTCAGCACCTTAGCAGTAATTGCTAATTTGCTGTTTACACTTTCCTTGAGTAAGTTGGGTAGGCCAAGGTCTCTGCTGGAAATACTGTAGGAGCCATCTGCTATCCCTTGCTGTCAAGGGCTGGGCAGCTACACAAACAAGCCAAGGAGTCTCTTAGGAGGCCGGGCTTTTAACAGTGCCAGTAAAGCAGCATGCATTCTGAAAGGTGTAACACACACGCACCCTGACTCCCCTCAGTGCCACAAAGATGTTAAGCCACAATTTTTGCAAATTCAGGAGCTGCTCCGTAGCATCTTATACAATATTATGTGGGATCTCCGCTCAGCACAGCTCTTTTATTGCATGAGGTGGCAAAAAAATTCAGGCTTGGTCCTGTTGCTGCACACCTCAGCTACAATCCTGAATGCAAGCATGGGATCAAAATTGTAGGTGTGGACAAGCAGTACTAACACAGGTTTGCCCTTATGATGAGTTGTTCAGACTAAGGACTAGGCCATTGTCAACAACTTTATAGAACCACCTTCTTCTGCGAAAGCTGCCTGAACGCTACAATTGTCCTTCAAAGCTATCAACAGTAAGGTGAGTGGTGACCTGTGACAGGGTGTTTTTGTTGTTGATTATAGTGCCCCATCTTTAGAAGTCCCTCTCCAGAGAGGGCCATGTGGTACCAAGTCTGCTTTCTTTTCTTCCTTGGTGTCAGGTGAATTACTTGCCCAGACCAGACCTTTTCGAGTCAATAGCCTTTTTTGTTTTTAGCTGGGATATTTTTCTGCTCTGCTGCTTATATTGCTGTTGTTTTTACTGAGTACTTGTGTTTTGAAAAATATTTTTATGTAAGCTGATCTGGGAGTCTTGCCAGCTGAAGAGCAGGATAATATGGTGGAACCCCTTTTGGCCCCTTGTGTCACCTGATTTGTTGGCAGCTGCAGTATCACCCTTTGGACAGAGTGGTACAAAGAATGAGGCATCTGGGCTGTGCTCCCTGAGCCTCCAATCTGAGCCTTATGGCACTTTACAATAGCCCTTTGTAAGGTGGGCCTGTTCTAGAACTGTTTTCTTCAATGAAGCAGACCCAATTAACACGATTTTCCCACTCTACAGCCAATTAACTCAAGCTAAGTAGGAAATGTCAAGTCCGGGTGGGGCAACTGGATGTTTTCAGGATGCCAGAAATAGCATAGCAGAAATTAAATTTGGTTCAGAATAAAGAAAATTTATGTATGCTGTGGAGTGTCAATTTATACTTCAGCTCCATATTAGCTTGCAAGGGGAAATAGAACAGTGCCATCTCTCTAACCGAATGTTATGATAAGAAAGGTTGCAAGTTAATTAGAATTCTGCCATCTTTGTGCCAAGTTTACCTCAATTAATGATTATTTTTAAATCTATTTCTCTCCTTTGTAGTACTTGTTCTTTGGTAGAAAGGAGATGTTTGAGTCTTGCTGAAATTGTGTTAACAGTCTTCTTCTCTTTTACCTCTTAAGGTTTTCAATTAAACTGCTGTAATTTGCTTTTCTTCTGCCAAGCACAATAATGACTTATTAGGCACTGACAATGTTGGTGTAACCTCTTCCTCTTCTTCTTCTTCTTCTTCTTCTTTAAAATACGAATGAATTCCAATCACAATCTAGGCTTCCAATGAATCAACACCCCTATTGTTACACCTGCAAATTGTACATAGAGAGAAGCATACTTCAGAATTAATGAGCACAGCTGCAGTCTCTTACATTCAACACTTGTAAAACAGACTTCTTTAAAGTGCCATTATTACAATATTGATAGAGTTATTTATAGTACTGCAAACGTTCCCAGTCATAACAGACTCCTTGTTATTCCACACACACCCAAATCCCCCAAAGTAGTACATGCCGTTGCCATCTTCTGGCATCTTTCCAGAGCCCAGAGAAGGCAGCAGGTGGACAGTCCTTCACAGATGAACTCAAAAAGACATGGGGGGGAAGTTGTCATCAGCAAATGTTATTGGAGGGAATAAGCTGAAATGTCTGGGGCCCCAATCTGCAGCAAACCTATTTACATGTGTTTCCAGTGTACTTTCCCCTCCCATTTCCAGGATGGAATGTGGAAAGTGGTCAGATGCAGTTGCCAGCTTAGAAGTGACCTGTTCAGTGTTGTCCAAGAGTGAGAACTTCCATTTCTGCTTGTTTTTACCATAACTCAACTAAGCAGATGCAAGTTCAGACTTTCAGCTATGGTTGTTGAAAACAAACATCTCAGGTGCCAACTTCTGTTGCTTCGGGAATAAAAGAAGTGTTGGCCTTGTGTTATATGAGTGCACAGCTAAACGTTGCATGAGGCAACAGCACTGTTGTCACTAGCTGAGTTTCTTCATTTCTAGGAATGTGTGGCAACAAAATTAATCCTAGTAAACTCAAGCATTATCCTTTGTCTAATGGTTTGGAAACTCAATATACAAACTGCTTGCGTAACTACAGTCCTGTTGACATAGTGACATATAGATTTTAATGAAACCATTCTGCAGGAGGAGTTAGTGTTCATCG